GAAAATATATATGGATATAGACTTTTGTAATAAAGTGTGTATTATTTAATTATGCATTTTGGGTTTGTAAAGGGATGAATATGTATGGGATAATTTATCATTAATTAATGTTAATATATTGCATAGGTAACATATGATATATTTAACTATGAATTATTATTTATAATGTTAATATATTGTATAGGTAACATATGATATATTTAATTATGAATGAGAATTTGAAGGAATTGAAGTATGATGAAGTCAGAATAATATCTATAATGTTAGATGTGGATAGTTATTTTGATTTAGTGTCTGCATTTAGTGTATATATAAATTGGATAGGAATTTATATGATACATTAGATGGTGTATAATATTTTTTTTTTCAAATTATGAAATCTTTATATTTAATATATATATTTTTTTTTAAATTATAAATTTTTATAAGAAGTTTTATTTGCAATTATTATATTATTTGTGTGGTATGCAATGATGTGAAGGGAAAATATTTTTACAGATAAGGTCAGCCCGTGTTGAGGGGTATGCCTTGAGGTGAAAATATTGTTTAGTTAGCATACTGGGGAAAGTTTTTTTTTTGTAAATTTATGCTGCATAATACATTTTTTTTAATCTTTTTAATAATTTTATAACACATCACATTTTACTATTTAATTATGAACATATTTTTAAAGAAAAGACTCAAATTATTTTATATTGTGAAGGTATATTAAAAATTCTTTACATATATACCATATAGCCCATTATATTATCAATTTTTGTTACTTTGCATTCTACATTTTTGTGAATTTGTGCTAATTGTGATGACAGAGTTAGGTAGAAATGGTATATTTTTCTTAGGATACTGAGTAATTCCTAGATGAAAATATTGTATTTTCTACATATTATATATTTGTTCCTTCATATATAATATTAAATGTATTTATATACGTATGTATTGTAATTTTATTTATAATCTTTGTTCGGCCAAGTTTCGCAATTATTTTTAATACCTAAAGATGGATTTTTATATTCATTTTAGGAAATATTTATAAAGATGTAGCTTTGTTTTTTTCACATGATAGAAGAAAAATTACATGTGTTTAAATTGCATTTCACACATAGACAATGTTTTCACATTATATTATTATATGTAAAATCATTATTTCCTAATTACCATGAATCATACCCTAATAATGTATATTATAGCTAGTAGTTCCCAAATGTCTTAAAATGAATAAATTATTATGTTTTGCGGATATTACATTGTCCATATTAATGTTCCGTAGATTATAAATGCAGATACCTTAATATACATGTCATTATTGATAATGTCTGTTTTCGCGATTTTATATTGAAATATAATGGAGTTATTATATTATAAATCATCATACGGGAAGATGATTCGATAATCTCCTGAACATCTTCAAGGCTTTCCGATACAATTTAAAGAGGTGATTCGATACAATTCAAAGGGGCGATTCAACACCACCACAGAGAGAGGGACGCTGGGCTTGTGAAGGGTGGGCGTGTTGTAATTATTGAAAAAAAGAAGAAATAAATTTAATATAATACATAAGATGTCAGTTATTTTCTGACAGGGTATTAAGTTTTCTTTGGGGGAAGAAGAGGAGATGATGATCACGGGGTGTATTTCATTGTTAGGAAAAACCCCTAGTGGGAGATGGGAAAATATTGAATAAGATGTCAGCTGTGAACCTTTGGGAGATGAAGAAATGGATAATAATTATATTAAATTTTGGTATATTTTTTTTGTGTTAATGTATAGATTGTTGTTGATGTTTTTAATAAATAAATTTGAGTCTTATTATTATGAAATTATGGTTTGTTTTGTGTTATGGGATATGGTTTGATATAGAGGTTTTTGAAAAGGATGTTATTAGAAAGTTCGGTTAATGTATTTAGTAAAGGGTCAATAAAACCATTATCAAAGCATTGGATTAAATCAAGGAAAAAACCGGGTCTGAAACCGTCTAAATCACCTGTTGTCCCTTTTTTAAAGGACTTCAAGCACTCAAGAACTTCATCACAAGTAAAGGGAATAGGAGAAGAGCCAAGCTAGTGAATGTTAAAAGGGAACGCCAATGGATGTTTTTCAAGAAGTTGTTGAAAAATAGAAGCGTTAATAAGGAAAATAGTATCATCATAAGTCAAAATTCGGGCAGCACCGTTAACATCTCCAAGGTTGATTTTTCAGAGATATATTTGCAGCGAAAAGAGTTAGAGATGGAGTAATATTCGTCAATAATGGTTGAAAATGACACTTTCTCCTTAATTGAGGCCGATAAATTATTTATTTATTTTTGGGTTTAACTAGAACTTGAAATCAAAAACAAATCAGGTCTAACCATAAGGGAGTTGAGGATAAATCTGAATTCAAATTATTTATAAGTGACTTGAGTTTGAAATTGATTCTCGGGCTGCTATAGGGATCCTATATAGAATAGGGGGCTTATGTGAAATATGAAATTAATCAACAGGGCGAGAGGGACAACAATCAGGACTGGGGTCATACGAGTGAGGAGAACTAATAAGGATCTGGGAGAGAAGGGATGGGGGATAATGTAAGCGGGTGAACGACATGGGCCATTTAAATTAAGTGAAATTATATTTAAACACACATGGCAACAAACGCTTATCATGATATAACTCTGGAGAAACAAACAAAAAGATATTGTAAAGGAATAAAGGGTGAAAAAACAAAAAGATATTGTAAAGGAATAAAGGGGGAAAGCATATTTTCAATTATTTAGTTAAGGCTATGTCCTAAATATCAAAAAATTGCAATGATTATAAATTTTACGATTCGTAAAACTTTAATCTTTTTATCATTAAATTTTTGAAAATTGCAAGAATAAAAATTCAATTATTTAGTTAAGGCTATGTCCTAAATATCAAAAAATTGCATAGCGCAATTTGCGCGAATCTAACGAGAAAAAAAATATAAGTCATTTTTAATTGAAAAGTATAATGTTGACCTAAATGATTTTTTCTTGCGCAAATTACATGATTCTTAAAAATTTTACGATTCGTAAAACTTAATCTTTTTATCATTAAATTTTTGAAAATTGCGTGAATAAAAATGGCGAACGAATTTCAATTGATGGAAAATAAGACCTTATAGACATTTGTGGTGTAATAGTGACCTTAAATATAGAGATACAGCAGCTAATAAGTCACCTGGGAAGAAATTATATAAATATTATTTTATATTTTAGGTTAAGGTGCTGCTATGATGAACAGCAAGCACCTAATTTATTGAAGATTTTTACTGGCTAAAAAAAATGTGGAGGATATATGTAAGCACACTGAAGCAAGTTTCAGTTTGAAACAATCTAAGGATGCTATTAATGTACAAATATCTCCATATGTATTATAACATGAAATTAGAACTATATAATAATCTATATTTTAGGATTAAGAGCCAAACATCCAAGATATGTTAAATGTACAAATATCATCACAAGCATTATATAATAATCTATATCTTAGGATTTAGAGCCAAACACACAAGATATATTAAATGATAAGTCAATCAGAAACAAATTTTTGAATTTAAAATGAAATTTTCCCTTCATATTTATAATTTTGTATATTATTTTCATATTTATAATTTTGTATATTATTTTCATATTTATAATTTTGTATATTATCTTCATATTTATAATTTTGTATATTTTTATAATAAAAATTATTATGTTTAATGAATTTTTATAAAATGTGATTTAGTCATTTTAGCAGTCTTCTACCTTAAATTAAATACAAATCACTCACTTATACAATATAATCAAAACACCACTTTTTATAGAATATTTATAAATAAATGCTATAACTTTGACAAATTTAAACTCATAAGAAATATAAGGTAATGATTAAAAAATAGATGTATACAAAATTTTTTGGGATAAGGGTATTCTTCATAATTAATTTGTGTACAATGATTGCCCTCAATATCAATAATAATATTTTGTAATAAGCAGTCAGCCTTAACTATTTGTATAGTATTAGTAATATTAGTTTCTGAGAATTTATATAAGTGTTTAAATTTGGCACTTATGATTATCTTCAAATAATATAAAATTAGTAAATCATTCACATCAAACATTTTATATATTTTAAATTGAAAATAAATGTATGATTCAGGACATGTTTCATATCTCTCAAAACTCACGAAAGTTTTGTATTTCGCAAAACTTTTGAGTAATTTTTGTTGTGTTTTAACTAGTTTATAATAGTTATTATGTTTTTGGTTCTAGTGATATGTTTTTATATTACCATTTATATATTTGTTTTCTTTGTTCAATTAGAAGTGATGTGTTTTTCTCATTATCATGTATATCTTTTTTTTTCTTTGTTCACGTATACCAAGCTTGTTTTGATTTCATCCTCAAAACTGGTTCTAGCCAGTTTTCGAGATGGGCCTGGATTATTAACATTCTTTTTTTATTATTTTAATTTATCTATATAAAGATCACGAAAAATGAAATTCGGGATTGTGATTTTTTTTGATGAATGATTTTATTTAAATTCTTTTTTTTGTAAACTATTGAAATAAAATTTGTTTAACCTTAATTCGGTGATATTAGCTTTTGGATTAACTTTAAAATAATATTTACACGACGTTGTCAGCGTGATCCCATGACAAAATCGATACCCAAACCCGGCCCCCTGGACCCCCTTATCGACCATCCCGGACTGTGTTTTCCCCACTCAGACGGTTAGACCCGTCGGTCAATATTCAACAATTTTTTTTTTAAATTTAGGACGCAGCCTAAGTTATATAAAAAATTATCGCTTATATTAAATAAGAATGAAGATGCCATTTTATCGGATCTACTCGATAAATTTAATAATAAAAAAAGAAAATTTGACTCGATCTGATCCAATAAAAAAAACCATCCCTAATTTTTCCTTTATTCTTTAATTTACAATCTTTTTCCTAATGTTCAAATTCTTGTTTTTATATTTTTTTATTTCCATAATAAATGTCGATAAATTTACTTTGTAGGAGCATCCACTGGAACATGCATAAATCTCATCAATTTTCGTATATAATGTTTCACAATCTATATTGGAAATAAAATATATGGAGATTATTTGTTTTGTGTGTACATATTGGAATATGTTATTTCTTTTTATAATCTTACAAGATTCAAACATGATTTGTAACCAAGAGAATAAAATAATAGAAATATATTAATTAAGTAAACAAGTTTAAAATATTTGTTAATAAACTTGGCTGATAAATTTATATAACCATAAAAAAGTTAATTTTACTAAAATCACATTTTAAGTCATTAAATTGAAAAATAATCAAAACTTTTTATTTACATTTGGAATCAGGAAATGATTGGTTGGATAATTTACAACCTTTAGAACAAGCCTCATAAAATTTGTTCATCTGTAATTATTAGAAAACAAAATATTTTATATATTATTTCTTTTCTTTAACTTTTTCTTAAATTATTCTCTAATTAAAATTTTCTATTTAAAATGTACAAATATTTAAGATATATATATATATTTTTATGTATCCAGTATATTGCCATATGATATCCTCTATATTATTAAAATTTTAATTGTTTTTTCATGGTGTTAGTTGGGTCTATTGTAGGTGTTATAGGTTAAGGAACAAGTTTTGGTTAGAGATGAACTAATGGCTGAATATATTTTCGATGTGCTAGATATTATTTTTATTCTTCCCTTGGTACCAAATCTTTATCGTGATAAACTTAGCAACCAATATCAGTTTATTGTAGGTGTTATAGGTTAAGAAACAAGTTTTGGTTAGAGATGAACTAATGGCTGAAGAATTTTTTGAAGTGCTAATGATATTATTTTTATCCCACCCTTGGTACCAAATCTTTATCATGATAAACTTAGCAACCAATATCAGAGCAATGGGATATATTCCATTTAATTAAGACCGTTAAATATGTTCTAATATTGAAGAGTAATCTTATAGTGAAAGTGGTGTTATAATAAATTATGAGGGATGGCCTAAAATAATCAATTATGTCAGCTGAATTTTTATTTAAAAAAATGAATATACTGGTTTGACAAAATATCTAATATCCAAATGTCCATATATCCCTAAATTTCAGGATATTTTTCCTTTTTTAGGCAAAAATTTAAACTCAAAATAATTATTATCTTAAGTAATTTTTGGAAAAATAACTTTTACTAATCCATTCTTAGATTATATCCTAAATATATATACTTAAAGGTTATGAATGGTTGGAGCTAGAGGTCTGCATTACATGGGTTTTTAGCCCTTCCACCCATCTAAGTGGGTGGGTAGGCAGGTTAAAAAATTTACAACTTTTATTTGTTATTTAAAATCATTTATATAAACATTTTAAAAAATTGTAGATGAAATTACAACATTTTTAATACCAATCAATATCTGAGGATGTATTGATATAAAAACATGTATTTGCATGGAAGAATATAATATCAACATGGATGAAAATCTTATTTTACCCGTTTCTCCAAAAGCAAAGAGAATTCAATTAAAGGTATAAAATTATACATGCAATGATTGAAGTAGATAGTATCCACATCAAAATTAAAAAACAGATGGGAAGATGTGGTTGTTTCAGAGGAGAACACCTTACCTAATGACCTAACAAAATATTTAAATCTTAAAGTAGCGAGTTTTGGATAATTTAGCAAGAATTTAGGCTACTAAACTTAATTGAAGTTTATCATTTATAAACAATTTAAATTACTTTTTTGAAATTATTAATGGTTTCTATCTCACTTAGGTAGAAGATATACTTCAAATGAATATACTACTTTGGTGGAAGCGATAGGAAAAAGATTTATCGAAGCTATCAAGGTTAACCAATGCTTCTTCTGAATTAACATTACTGTAAGTAAAGAGAAAAAGTAATGTGCATGAATCCTGAAAATGTGGAATCATTATTATTTTTACATTATAATTAGAAATAAATATTCCTTATCCATAATTTAAATTAAATATTTTTTTTCGTTAATATAGCAATTTCCTAAATTATGAAACTTTTTTGTAAGGGTGTAGCACTTAAGCTAATTTATTTAAATTAGATTTTAAAAAAATTGAAGTAATGAGATTAATTAAAATTTAGGGTGGCATGGGTGAATTTTTTTTTTATATAAATGGTAGTCATGTAAAAAATATTAGGCTAATGGATGGGTAAAAATTTTAGACTCATGGGTGGGTGGGGGGATTATTTTTTAAAAACCATGGATGGGTTGGGCTGGGAGATTAAATTAAATTTTTTTAACAATATTAGAAGGGCAAGCTTGTGGGTTAAAAACCCACCAATTGCAGACCTCTATTTGAAGCTACTTCCCAGTCATAATAGCAATCTGTTATAAAATAAAAAAAATTGAGAGCTGTGATTGAATTATGCATAGGGCATTTGAGAACTTAGCGAATTCTATAAGCAGACATAATCTGAACTGTCTACATAGTTACAGGGCAAAAACACCAGCATTTAACATAGCATCAATTGTGAACTAACATATCTAACCACATAGAGTCTCAAGCCTATTTTCAGAAGATAGTTCAGGAACTGATAGTCTCACATCAAGCCCTTATGATATGGGCAAATATTCTTACAGGTGTCCTTTCAAACATAAATTTAATATTCTCTCATGCTTGCCAAAATTGAAGAAATAAACAAGCAGTTTAATTTCTTATAGTAACTTAATAAAAAGGGTTTTTGCCAACGTACAAAAATTCTAAGGCCATTAAATAAGTTGTTCATCAATAAAATTTAACTCTGGTTATTTAGTTTAGTTTATCATAATTTTTTTATTTCTAATTATTCACTTACTTTTTCAATTATCTTACATCTCCACATTCTTTTTTGTAAAAGAAAATTAATAAAAACCTTTCCCTCCCCCTCAGTTAAATTGTATTTTCCACAGGCATCTTCTAAGCATCTGTTCTTCTCCTGGGCATTTATCGCGAGTATTAAAATCCATATGAAGGCTACAATTTTTAATAACATTGTTTCAGTCTAAAATAAAATACATTATAAATTTAAGTTTCAAATAATTTATAAATAATACTAGATAGCTTTAAAAAATAAGTATAATGTAATTTAATGTGATAGAAATGTCGAATTAAAAAAATTTATTAAACCTTTATTCGATATATATTAAAATGGAGATTTTGGAATGTATTTAAGAAATTAGCAAAAAATAAAATTAAACGATAAATAGATTATATGATCACGTGAATGTCATATGATCTAAAACAAATAAGATCTTATGAAACTGACTAATTTATTTGTTTATAATCTAAATTGCTCTTATTATCCTCAAAGTGTTTTCAAAATCATTATGACTTTTACACCAAAATATATCAAAGCTTTATTTTAAAAATGTAAATAAAGTTTGATAAATTAATATCTGATCTTCTTTTTTACTTGATTCCTTAAAATTTAATATTATGCGAATTGAAAGTGAAATTATTTTTAAGAAAATTGATATATGATCTAAATTTGGTCATACATAAAATATATTTAATCTTTTATATATTTCGACCTAGGAAATAGATGTTCGACAAAGCTCATACACCTAATTAAATATTTAAAATAGACAAATACAATATTACAAACCATCTTAGGGACAATTAGGTTATTCTATCTCCATTTTTGATAGATCAATTATTTAAGGATATACCTATTTACATTAAAAAATCTCATACTTTTAACTTATAAAATTAATTTTAGCCAGAATTAGATTTTTCTATTTCCCTATTTCTTATTATTGTTAAAATATATTATTCCATTCATAAAAAACAATCAATCCATCCAGCATATAATTCTTTAAAACGCTTTAAAGTATTACGTAAATTGAATTAAGAGTTATTTTAACTGATTTTATGGTTTTATATATAGATGCTGATATTACTGACCCAAAAAAACAAAAAATTAAAAAGAATATTTCTTATCATAATAAAATAATATTACATTAATTTTTATCCATTCCATTAAATAAATTTCAATTTTTAAAATAAAATTTTAGTCTGTTGTCTTGTTTACATTAGTACTTATTATTATTCAATAATATTTTTGGATTTAGAAGGAAGTTGTTTATAGATAGGAATAATATTTCTTATATATAATAAAAATTTGGTATTTATTCTATCTCATGCTTTGGAATAAAAAAAAAATTTTTTTAGAAATATATTATGGTATTTTATATTATTAAGTGATGAGGAAGTAATAAATATAAACATCCTTAAGTTAAAAAAAATAAATTAGGAAAGCTTTCATAATATTCAGAATACATATAAGGAATTTCTAAAATTGCTCCTGTAAAGTTGAAAAAAGTGGAGATTTAATAATATAATTCTCAGGTGACAAAATATTATGTATTTAGGAAAGAAAAATTATAAATTATTTTAAAAAAAGAGATCTCAAAGGAAATTGTAAAAGAGAGAAGAAGGGAGAAGAAGATAGTACCAGAGAGTTTATAATTCTATGCAATTGATATAGATGAGGTTGAGATATTTTATCTTATTATTTTTTTAAAAAATAATAAATTTCTGGAATAATCAAGAAAGTTATTTCACCTAAAGCGATTCTTAGTTTGCTTTGTTTGTAGGATTTTTATCTTCAATTCTCTGAAAAATAAAAGCTGATATGATTAGTTTGTATCTAATAAATCAAACTGTTGAATTAATTTTTAACGTAAACTATTGAAAGATAATGAATAGAAACCTGGAAAAAATATGATAACTTAAATGTTGTTATATTCAAAAAATAAAGTGCCCAAAGCTAGGATTTGAGCTGATTTAAAAAAAATCTATTTTTTTTATCCAGAAAATAATATGCAAGATAGAAGAGATTACTCATGATGGCACATAGGTTTTAACAACTATTTTAGTTTATCAACACAACTCAAAGCTTGATAGGTGGAATTATTTTTTGGTTATCCAAACTTTATGCCATCTATGAGGTATTAATGCAAAATTTTGGGGAATTTAAGTAATGGGGAAATTGGAAAAAAATAATGGAAAAAATGGGGAAAATAGGAGAAAATAAGAAATTAAACCATAAAATATTTAATTTTTATAGATATAAAGGCTACGCCCTAGCACGGCCTTCGCGGGAGGGGGGGTGCAGTCTTCACCAATAGCGCGGATTCAGAAATTCACATGATCATAAAAAGTGTTAAGTAATAAATATATCGTGAGATATCAGATTTTAAATATATATATATAATAAAGGTATGGAGCTGATCAGAAGGGAAATACTGTTAAGATCGACAGAATGGTTAAGTTAAAAATGGTAGTATTCAGAATATATATATTATTTATTTAAATTATTAAATATAATACTATGTATTGTTATCTCAATCTGATTATAATAAAATAACGATTCATGTATAGTTTTTAGTGAATTATACAAAATGATTAGCGTTGATAAAAAAGATATTGTTATAGAAGACGAATGTGAAACTCAAAAAATGCTAGGATCTTTGCGAATAGTTATTGAACCTTATTTAAATAATTAAAATATCATATATATGGTCATATAAATTAGCGCACCACATATCGTTTTTTTACTGAGTAATACAAAATTAGCAGTAGGGATAAAAGAGAATAATGGTATGTGCAACGGAATAGTAAGTTTTAAAAAGGTAGACCCTTAAGAATAGATTTATAATTTAATTTAAATTATAAAAATAAAGTAATATGTATATAGGGAAAGGAAGGTAAATGAAAAGAAAAAGGGAAGGGAATAAAAAGGTAAAAGAAAAGGAAACTAGAAAGGAGAAGGGTAGGAAAATATAAAAGAAAGGAAAAAAGGGGGAAATGAGAAAGTAAGAAAAGGTAGAGGAAAGGGAAAAGAGAAAGTGAAAGGAAAAATAGAAAGGGAAAGTAAGGGGAAAATGTAAAGAAAAGAATAAAGCGAAAGGAGAAAGAAAATAAAAAGCGAAAGGAAAAGAAAAAAAAAGGGAAAAGAAAAAGGAAAGGGGGAGAGGAAAAGGGAAAGAAATATGTAAAGAAAAACCATAGGTAAAGAGGGAAATGAAAAGAAAATAGGTAAAGGCAAAAAGAAAGAAAGAAAAAAAAAGAATGGAAAGGAAAGGAATAGAGAAGAAAAGAGAAATAATAAGAGAGACATAAAAAGGAAAGGAAAAAAATAAAAAGAAAAAAAGGTAAAGGTAAAAAGAAGAAAGAAATAGAAAGTAAGAAAAAAAGGAATGGAAAGGAATAGAGAAGAAAGGAGAAGATAATAAGAGAGAAATTAAAAGGAAAAAAGAAAAATAGAAATAAAAGGGAAAATTTAGAGGAAATTAAAAAGGAAAAAGGTAATGAAAAGGTAAAGATGAAGGGAATGGGAAAGAAAAAGGGAAAGTAAAAGAAAATGAAAAAGTAAAAGCAAAAAGGTAATGAAAAGGGGAAGGCGAGAGGAGAATGAAAAGAAAAGTAAAGTAAAAGGGAAAAAACAAGGTTAGGAAAAAGGAAAGTGGGAGAAGGAAAAGACCAATGAAGGAAAATAAAAAGAAAAATAAAAAGAAATGGAAAAAGGTAAAGAAAAGGGGAAAGGAAAAGTTAAGGGAAAATAAAATATAGGAAAGGAAAAAGTTAAAGAAAAAGCGAAAGAAGGAATAGGTAAAAAAAGAAAAGGGAATAGGGAAAGAAATTAGTAAAGGAAAGGGGAATGGAAAATAAAAGGTATAGGAAAAGAAAAAAGAAAAGAGAAGAAGGGGAAAGAAAAAGGAAAGGGAAGGAAAATGGCAAAGCAAAAGGAGAAGGGAAAAATGGGAAGGAAAGTAAAAAGGATAAAGGAAATAAAGGGGGGAAGGGAAAGAAAAGAATAAGGGAGATATAAAAGATAGAGGGAAATGTAAAACGAGAAGACAGAGAAATAGGAAATGGGAAGGAAGAAGGAAATAAAAATGAGAAGGAAAAGAAAAAAAAAGAGAAGTGACTAACTTTATTTTGTGTGGTTGGTGTTGGTATAATTTGTTGGGTATCGTGATCTTTGGAACGTTTATTTTGTTGATCAACAGGCCATCTTTTTTTTGTTTGGCAGTGACAAATTAATCAATTTGTAAAATCATTAAGAGAGGTTAAGATAGGACCTATTTTCTAAAATAAAAACTAAATAAACAATCTAAAATATAATGCACTGATCCTGAAGGAGAGTCAATATTAGGATCAACTCTAGAAATAGTGGGAATATCATTAGTACCTAAAATATATGTAATCTAAAATGTAAGAAAGTATAAGAATATTTATGCATTTTTATATATATGTTAGCGGCAATGTGAAAATTCCGGCAATGTATACATTGCCTGAATTTTTTCGGCAATGTGAGGTAGTGGTAGGCAATGTAAATGTGAGATTTCGGCAATGTCCCCGGCAATGTGAACATTGCCTGGTTATTTTAGGCAATGTGTTATTTTTGTAATATTATATTATTAATAATTTTGTTTTTATTATTAATAATTTTTTTAAGATTAAAATTTTATTTGATAATTTATATTATTTTTTTAGATATAATAATATGTTTTTTAAATATATTATTTGATTGATATTTTTTTTTAAATATATTATAATATATTTTAATTTGTTATATTAATTTTTTATATATTTTTTGATTGATATTTTTTATTATAATGGTTTTTTATGTTTTTTATTATAATGGTTTTTTATGTATTTATTTTTCAGGTAAATTTTTTCTTGATATATTTTTTGACTAAATATTTTTTTTATTTTTTTATATATTTTTTGATTGATATTTTTTAATATAATGGTTTTTAATGTATTTATTTTTCACGTAAATTTTTTCTTGATATATTTTTTGATATCTAAATTTTTTTTTATTTTTTGTGTTATATTATTTTTTTAAATATATTTTTTGATTGATATTTTTTTTAAAATAATTTTTAGATAATATATTTTAATTTGTTATATTATTTTTTTATATATTTTTTGATTGATATTTTTTAATATGATGGTTTTTTTATGTATTTATTTTTCACGTAAATTTTTTTTTGATATATTTTTTGATAGCTAATTTTTTTTTTATTTATGTTATTATTATTTATTTAAATATATTTTTTGATTGATATTTTTTTTAGAGATAAGATATTTTAATTTATCATAATTTTTTTAAATATATTTTTTGATTGATATTTTTTTTAATGATTTTTATATAATTTATTTTTAACATAATTTTTTATCTTTTGATTCCTAATTTTATAGGTAAAAGTGACAAAAGGTATAATCGTAATTTTTGAACTTTTTTAAGTTTTTAAAAGCAATTTTAAGTGAAGATATATTATAGAAAAGTGACAATTGTCATAATCGTTATTTTTGAACATTTTGTAGTTTTTTTAAAGTAAATAGGTAAAATAAAAATGTTAAATTAATATTTCAGTGAAGATGTACTATGGAAAATTGACAATTGTCATAATCGTTATTTTTGAACATTTTTTAGTTTTTTTAAAGTAAATAGGTAAAATAAAAATGTTAAATTAATATTTCAGTGAAGATGTACTATGGAAAATTGACAATTGTCATAATCGTTATTTTTGAACATTTTTTAGTTTTTTTAAAGTAAATAGTTAAAATTATGTTTTGTAAACATGTTAAATTAATATTTCATTGAAGATGTACTATGGAAAAGTGACAATTGTCATAATCGTTATTTTTGAACATTTTTTAGTTTTTTTAAAGTAAATAGGTAAAAATATGTTTTGTAAAAATGTTAAATTAATATTTCAGTGAAGATGTACTATGGAAAAGTGACAATTGTCATAATCGTTATTTTTGAACTTTTTTGATTTTTTTTAAAGTAAATAGTTAAAATTATGTTTTGTAAACATGTTAAATTAATATTTCAGTGAAGATGTACTATGGAAAAGTGACAATTGTCATAATCGTTATTTTTAAACTTTTTTTGAGTTTTTTTAAAGTAAATAGGTAAAAATATGTTTAATAAACGTGTTAAATTAATATTTCAATGAAGATGTACTATGGAAAAGTGACAATTGTCATAATAGTTATTTTTGAACTTTTTTGATTTTTTTTAAAGTAAATAGTTAAAATATGTTTTGTAAACATGTTAAATTAATATTTCAGTGAAGATGTACTATGGAAAAGTGACAATTGTCATAATCGTTATTTTTGAACTTTTTTGATTTTTTTTAAAGTAAATAATTAAAATTATGTTTTGTAAACGTGTTAAATTAATATTTCAGTGAAGATGTATTATAGAAAAGTGACAATTGTAATAATCGTTATTTTTGAACTTTTTTGATTTTTTTTAAAGTAAATAGTTAAAATTATGTTTTGTAAACATGTTAAATTAATATTTCAGTGAAGATGTACTATGGAAAAGTGACAATTGTCATAATCGTTATTTTTGAACTTTTTTGATTTTTTTTAAAGTAAATAGGTAAAAATATGTTTTGTAAAAATGTTAAATTAATATTTCAGTGAAGATGTAATATGGAAAATTGACAATTTTCATAATCGTTATTTTTGAACTTTTATGATTTTTTTTAAAGTAAATAGTTAAAATTATGTTTAGTAAACGTGTTAAATTAAAATTTCAGTTTAGATATGTTTTATATTATATAGACACTAACAGGAATATTAACATTAAAATTCCTAAATTCGCTATTATTTATATATTGAAAATTAAAGATGAATTATTTTCCTGTAAATCGTCAATGCCTTGATTTGATTAATCTCGAGATTTCAGCATGAATACATTAATGACCTCAAATGATAAAAAATTTTACTATTACGATTACACCTTAATCTTCATAGCAGCCGGAAATGTTTTTTAACATAATTTATAATAGTAGACCGATGTATAAATAAAATATTTTTAGGATTAATCTATTTTTTTCTAAAATATTAACTGCGAAATATTTAAATATAGAATCCTGCATCGGTTATTTGTATATCAACTAACTATAATATCTTTGACTTATTTATTTCAATTCTGTGAGTAAATATATTTTAAATATTTATTCACTTTAGTGAACTATCTAAAATTACAAGTTAGAGCTATTGAGATGTATATCTATCATCTATCACTAAATACATTTTCATGAATATATTTATAAACGAAATAAATTTTAGCAATTAACTATGTTGCAATATAGCGTACATTAAATACTATTAGCCCTTATATTTATTACTAAGATTATGCGTCAAACTATAAGTTCATCTAAGATTTTTTCGAGAAATTAAGGCCTTTGAGTAACTTTTTTTATACTATATTATATTGATAAATGCTAGGCTCTCTGTTTGAAGGCCTTTGGCCAGTTATTGTTTTAAATTTTCTTTAGGTTTATACTCTTTTTTTAAAAAAAAATTTCTCACAAATTTTATAAGGTCGTTTTTTTAATATTTTTGTGACATAGTGGTATATTCTTAATTATTTTTAAATAATATTTACTAAATCAGACATATTTGGTAAAATGGGTGGGAATTTTTTACTTCCCCCCTCCCCCCAACATTATACGCAACTTAATATTATGTTAAAATACATTTTTACGCCATATTATTAATGGATATCTGGTAGCAAGCCTTCCCTATAAGACTATATCTTCATAATAGAAAAAACAATATTATTCTCAAATATTTTTTACACATTCATAATGGAAGAATTTTATTCTAACTATTCTCAAATTTTTAATATAAAAAATAAAAATTCTAAAATTTTTTCGAAGGAAAAATACAATAACGTAATTTCAAATATAAAAAATAAAAATTCTAAAATTTTTTTGAAGGAAAAATACAATAACGTAATTTCAAATATAAAAAGTTATAATTCCAGAAATTTTAAATTAAATCAAAATAATATTTTAATTCATAAAAATGGAAAAATTGTATTAAACATTGACCATTTATATGACACAATCCACAAATGTCATCTATTCACAGGACATGGGAGAAGAGATATTCTTCACGAAACATTAAAGACACGCTATTACAATATAACAAGGGAAATCATTGAAGTTTACCTCAACACATGTAAGGAATGTCAGTTAAAGAAAGGCAAAAGAAATATTGGATTAGTTACCAATCCTATTATTTCAAAAGATCATAATTCTCGATGTCAAGTAAAATACAATTGAAATTGATTTTTCTTATTTGTTAATGTTATTAAACGTTTCATTTTGAGCCTTTTTTTAAAAACGGCTAACTCAATATTTTAGCCTGGATTTTGCTAATAAATGTCTAATCCGTTGTGCCATCTAAGAGCAAAATCTTTAGGCTTGTTTAATATTTTTGTCGATAAAGAGTTAGCCGAATTTAAAAATCAGCTCAATCGAGTCGTTTAATAACACTATTTTTTGCTTTTCTTTTAAAGTGCAACTTTGTTTATTTTTTTGAGTTTTTGTCCATACTTTTAAGTGGCTACTTTATAGAAGTTATATTTTGGTTTAGCTGATAACCCTAATAGCAGAAAAATTATAAAGTTAAAACACATTTATTATTAAATCCTATTTTAAATTTAATTTTATATAAAAATATTATAAATTTTAGAAATCTACCCCCCTTAATTTTAATGAAAATTTTAGGTCAGTCTCCCCTCCCCACCATATATTCGTGCTTAAAATCTTGGTTATAACATACTTTATGAGCTAATGAGGTTATGTGAAAGTTGTTTTTAAAGCCAGTTAAAACATTATATGTATTGACTGGCCATATACTTAATATATTATTTAATAATCTTATTATAAATATGAAATTGTAAAAAAAACGTATGTTAATATTACCGTTCTCATTATAAAAATATTAATTTCGATATTTTTAGATGGACCTGATTGATATGCAATCACAACCAGATGGCGAAAATAAATATATTTTCGTATACCAAGATCACTTCACAAAGTTTGTGATTTTGAAACCTATGAAAAATAAAACTGCTCAAGATGTGGCGGAACATTTGACATCTATATTCAATTTATTTGGCGCGCCTTCCATTCTTCACACAGACAATGGACGGGAATTTAAAAACGAAGTAGAATTTAAATTTTATTTAGTTTTTAAAACATAAAAATATTTAAACATGGAAAATAAAATAAATTATTTTATATTATGGTATTTTTGCTAAATATAAGCATCATTTTAAATTATAATTGGGAGACAAATATTTTCAAAAATTTTGGGTTATTTTTTAATGTTTAAAATATAAGATGATAGTTAGCATCCCATGGACTCTTTGATACCATTTAATTACTATACAAATATATCAATATTTTTTTAGACCATCCAAAATATAGTGGAGATGTGGCCTGGCTGTAAAATGGTCCATGGAAGACCAAGGCACTCCCAATCTCAGGGATCGGTCGAGCGTGCCAATAAAGATATTATGGTATTTATCTTAAAACAAAATAAATTAATTTAGATATTTTTTAGAATAAATTACGCTGTTTTCTTCATGATAACAAAACAACGTGTTGGGCTAATGCGTTGGGAACGATCCAGTTCCAAAAAAATATATCTTATCATAGAGGAATCAAATCATCACCCTATGAGGTTATGTTTGGACATAAACCTAATATCTGGGATTCCTCTTTGACAAGTATAATTAAATTATATTTATGCAATTATAAATTTATTTAAACCAGAAAAATTGGAAGATACAGGAGATGATACTGGTATATTCTTTTATTATTATACAATGAATTCGTTATAATATACTATAGCTTATTTGGATGACGATAAAAGCTATTTCCATAATCTGGTAAATTATACAGATTCGGAAGATTCTGGTAATATATTTTTATTTAATTAAAATATAATATTTTGTAGATGAATTTGAAAACAATAGCAATTCTATCCGAGAAGATTGTATATCACCGGATCCTGGTATATATTTTTAAGTTGCATTAGTTAACATATAATATTTTGTAGTTGATTTTGAAAACTATAGCAATTCTATCCGAGAAGATTGTATATCACCGGATCCTAGTATATATTTTTAAGATGCATTAGTTAACATATAATATTTTACAGTTACTAGTTTACTTAATATATATTGCCCCTCTCCCGATGTAGGTATATATTTTTTGTTTGATAGAATGCATTAATTAATATATAATATTTCACAGCGGAATTTCAAAAAAATCCTAACTCTGGCCAACAATCTAGCCCCTCTTTTGATCTTGGTATATATTTTTGTTTGATAAGATGCAATAATTAATATATAACATTTTACAGCGGAGTATGAAAATAATTCCAACTCTCTGCAAGAATACTACCCCTATCCCCATCTTGGTATAATTTTTGTTTGATATGATGCATTAATTAATATATAATATTTTACAGCGGAATTTGAAAATGATTCCAAATCATTTAAAGAAGGTTTATACAATGCTTCAGGTTTTCATAATACCTTATTTAGCAAAATAATTTGTCTAATTTATAGATAATTTGGCTGATGAAGAGATGAAACCCTATGAGGATCAACTAGGCCATTTTGCCAATTTATCCGGTTTATATATTCAATATTTTGCAAAATAATAAACCTTATTTTATAGAAAGCGCTCGTAAACACATTGTATATTCGAATGAATTGGATAATGACGGTATTTAGAAAAATATATAAAATTTCATGAAAATTATCCTTTAGGTTATCCAATCGGTTCAATCTTTAAATACAATTTCCGCCAATCAAGTTATTATACTTTCTATATTGATTAATTATAACTTATATAAAAAATGTAAATACTACATCCAGGGCGATTATTATAAAAACATTTTTTTAAAATATTTTTACGATAAAATGTTTATAATATTTTAATTTTATAGGTGCCATTGATGAAGAAGATAAAGCATCAACGTCTGCAAACATATCTGTGGTATGCAAATGCAAACAAAATTGCAGGACAAATAGATGTAAATGCAAGGCATCTAATGTGTCCTGCAATTCACATTGTCATACAAAAAATAATTTATGTCAAAATAAATGATTCATTTATATTTATATAAATTATATAGTAATAAAAAATGTGTATTGTAAATATTGTTTTTTCTATTATGAAGATATAGTCTTATAGGGAAGGCTTGCTACCAGATATCCATTAATAATATGGCGTAAAAATGTATTTTAACATAATATTAAGTTGCGTATAAAGTTGGGGGGAGGGGGGAAGTAAAAAATTTCCACCCATTTTACCAAATATGTCTGATTTGGTAAATATTATTTAAAAATAATTAAGAATATACCACTATGTCACAAAAATATTAAAAATAACGACCTTATAAAATTTGTGAGAAATTTTTTTTTAAAAAAAGAGTATAAACCTAAAGGAAATTTAAAACAATAACTGGCCAAAGGCCTTTAAACAGAGAGCCTAGCATTTATCAATATAATATAGTATAAAAAAAGTTACTCAAAGGCCTTAATTTCTCGAAAAAATCTTAGATGAACTTATAGTTTGACGCATAATCTTAGTAATAAATATAAGGGCTAATAGTATTTAATGTACGCTATATTGCAACATAGTTAATTGCTAAAATTTATTTCGTTTATAAATATATTCATGAAAATGTATTTAGTGATAGATGATAGATATACATCTCAATAGCTCTAGCTTGTAATTTTAGATAGTTCACTAAAGTGAATAAATATTTAAAATATATTTACTCACAGAATTGAAATAAATAAGTCAAAGATATTATAGTTAGTTGATATACAAATAACCGATGCAGGATTCTATATTTAAATATTTCGCAGTTAATATTTTAGAAAAAAATAGATTAATCCTAAAAATATTTTATTTATACATCGGTCTACTATTATAAATTATGTTAAAAAACATTTCCGGCTGCTATGAAGATTAAGGTGTAATCGTAATAGTAAAATTTTTTATCATTTGAGGTCATTAATGTATTCATGCTGAAATCTCGAGATTAATCAAATCAAGGCATTGACGATTTACAGGAAAATAATTCATCTTTAATTTTCAATATATAAATAATAGCGAATTTAGGAATTTTAATGTTAATATTCCTGTTAGTGTCTATATAATATAAAACATATCTAAACTGAAATTTTAATTTAACACGTTTACTAAACATGATTTTAACTATTTACTTTAAAAAAAATCATAAAAGTTCAAAAATAACGATTATGACAATTGTCAATTTTCCATATTACATCTTCACTGTAATATTAATTTAACATTTTTACAAAACATATTTTTACCTATTTACTTTAAAAAAAATCAAAAAAGTTCAAAAATAACGATTATGACAATTGTCACTTTTCCATAGTACATCTTCACTGAAATATTAATTTAACATTTTTACAAAACATATTTTTACCTATTTACTTTAAAAAAAATCAAAAAAGTTCAAAAATAACGATTATGACAATTGTCACTTTTCCATAGTACATCTTCACTGAAATATTTATTTAACATGTTTACAAAACATAATTTTAACTATTTACTTTAAAAAAAATCAAAAAAGTTCAAAAATAACGATTATGACAATTGTCACTTTTCCATAGTACATCTTCACTGAAATATTAATTTAACATTTTTACAAAATTTAACTATTTACTTTAAAAAAAATCAAAAAAGTTCAAAAATAACGATTATGACAATTGTCACTTTTCCATAATACATCTCCACTGAAATATTAATTTAACATGTTTACAAAACATAATTTTACCTATTTACTTTAAAAAAACTAAAAAAAGTTCAAAAATAACGATTATGACAATTGTCACTTTTCCATAGTACATCTTCACTGAAATGTTAATTTAACATTTTTACAAAACATATTTTTACCTATTTACTTTAAAAAAAATCAAAAAAGTTCAAAAATAACGATTATGACAATTGTCACTTTTCCATAGTACATCTTCACTGAAATATTAATTTAACATGTTTACAAAACATAATTTTAACTATTTACTTTAAAAAAAATCAAAAAAATTCAAAAATAACGATTATGACAATTGTCACTTTTCGATAGTACATCTTCACTGAAATATTAATTTAACATTTTTACAAATTTTAACTATTTACTTTAAAAAAAATCAAAAAAGTTCAAAAATAACGATTATGACAATTGTCACTTTTCCATAATACATCTTCACTGAAATATTAATTTAACACGTTTACTAAACATATTTTTACCTATTTACTTTAAAAAAACTAAAAAATGTTCAAAAATAACGATTATGACAATTGTCACTTTTCCATAGTACATCTTCACTGAAATATTAATTTAACATGTTTACAAAACATAATTTTACCTATTTACTTTAAAAAAAATCAAAAAAGTTCAAAAATAACGATTATGACAATTGTCACTTTTCCATAATACATCTCCACTGAAATATTAATTTAACATGTTTACAAAACATAATTTTACCTATTTACTTTAAAAAAACTAAAAAAAGTTCAAAAATAACGATTATGACAATTGTCACTTTTCCATAATACATCTTCACTGAAATATTAATTTAACATTTTTACAAAACATATTTTTACCTATTTACTTTAAAAAAAATCAAAAAAGTTCAAAAATAACGATTATGACAATTGTCACTTTTCCATAGTACATCTTCACTGAAATATTAATTTAACATTTTTACAGAACATATTTTTACCTATTTACTTTAAAAAAACTAAAAAATGTTCAAAAATAACGATTATGACAATTGTCACTTTTCTATAATATATCTTCACTGAAAATTGCTTTTAAAAACTTAAAAATGTTCAAAAATTACGATTATACCTTTTGTCACTTTTACCTATAAAATTAGGAATCAAAAGTTAAAAAATTATGTTAAAAATAAATTATATAAAAATCATTTAAAAAAAATATCAATCAAAAAATATATTTAAAAAAATTATGACAAATTAAAATATCTTATCTCTAAAAAAAAATATCAATCAAAAAATATATTTAAAAAAATAATATAACACAAAAAATTAAAAAAAATTAAAAAAAATTTAGCTATCAAAAAATATATCAAGATAAAATTTACGTGAAAAATAAATACATAAAAAACCATTATAATAAAAATATCAATCAAAAAATATATAAAAAAATAATATAACAAATTAAAATATATTATCTAAAAATTATTTTAAAAAAAATATCAATCAAAAAAAATAAAATAATATAACAAATTAAAATATATTACCTCTAAAGTTTTATTTAAAAAATAATATAAACCAAAAAACAAAAAAAAATTAGCTATCAAAAAAAATCTACGTAAAAAATAAATATATCAATCAAAAAAAATATGTAAAAAATAATATAACAAATTATAATATATTATTTCAATATACTTAAAAAAAATATCAAAAAAAATATATTATATATTACCTCTAAAGTTTTATTTAAAAAATAATATAAACCAAAAAACAAAAAAAAATTAGCTATCAAAAAAAATCTACGTAAAAAATAAATATATCAATCAAAAAAAATATGTAAAAAATAATATAACAAATTATAATATATTATTTCAATATACTTAAAAAAAATATCAAAAAAAATATATTATATATTACCTCTAAAGTTTTATTTAAAAAATGATATAAACCAAAAAACAAAAAAAAATTCTCTATCAAAAAAAATATATTATATATTACCTCTAAAGTTTTATTTAAAAAATAATATAAACCAAAAAACAAAAAAAAATTCTCTATCAAAAAAAATCTACGTAAAAAATAAATGTATAAAAAAGTAATTATATTAAAAAAAAATATCTATCAAAAAAAATATGTAAAAAAATATATAACAAATTATAATATATTAAAAAAAAATATCAATCAAAAAATATATTTAAAAAGATAATATAACAAATTAAAATATTATATCAAAAAATAAATTAATATTAAATAAATAATAAATTAATATTAAATAAATAATAAATTAATCTTAAATAAATAATAAATTTGTAAAATACACATTGCCTAAAATAACCAGGCAATGTATACATTGCCGAAATCTCACATTTACATTGCCTACCACTACCTCACATTGCCGAAAAAATTCAGGCAATGTATACATTGCCGGAATTTTCACATTGCCGCTAACATATATATATATATATATATAGATGAATAACTTTATTTTGTATTGTTGGTAGATTTTGTTGCTTTTCACCATCGCTGGAGAGTTTATTTTGTTGATTAACCTGTCATCTTTTTATTTTATTAATGACAGATAAATCAGCATCTGTACAATCATTAAGAGAAGTTAGGACCTGTTATCTGAATTAAATAAATTTTTTAAAGAAAATAATGTACTGAAACCTCAGAGAAGTCACCATTATATGTGTTTTTCTAATTGATATCTAAAATACACAGGCGCGTATGCAGGAATTTGGTCTGGGGGGGGGGGATAATAAAATTTTTAAGAAATATTATTGTTAAATACTAAGCATATATTTATTAGGACCAATAACTTTTCTAATACACAATTTTAAATTAATGTGAATTACAAAAAAATTATATGTATAAACCGGCATTGAAAAACTATAAATAAATGTGAATTATAAAATATAAAGTGAATATAACCACGATATACTTAAATGACCCAAAAGTGAAATTTGAATTTTTT